TGTCTGACAGAGGTGTTGTTTATTTGGTCTGGTGGTGAATGCAGATGATGCTTGAGATGTGTCCAGCCTCGAGAAGCTTTGAAGAGCCAGACTTCCTGAATATGTCTTACAGAAGTGTCATCTCAAAGTCCTATCATTAGATGTTGGCCAAAGCAAGGTGAATGCTGAGCATTACTGTCTCAACATGGAAAATGTCACAGAGTCCGAGTCTGTCTTCATCCACAGTAAGATGCTGCAGAAAGTTCTTTGTGAACAAACAAAGCTCTGTCCTCAGGTGCTCCAGGACAAGGGTGTCAGGCTTTGCAAGAGCATTTTGTATCTGTCTGTGTGAGCAGAAACTCTTCCTTGTGATGCACAGGCTGAAACTGTGCTGGGACACACAGCTCCTCTCTTCACTTCTTTTTGCTTTTACATGGCAAAAGCTCCTGTTGTCTCCACACACCAGCATGGATTTGATTTGCTGCTCTGGGAATATTTTGCTCTGGATTTAGGTTGTGTTTGTTTCTTTAATTCAAAATATAAGGATTTATTTCCCTTACTTCCCCCCACCCTCTTTAAATAGCTCTAGTGCCTCCTCTGTCCACCTTGACATCCTCTCTTCTCTGAAAGGAAGGAGACTTCCCTTTTAATAAATGAGCTCAGAATTAAATTGGAAACTCTGTTTCCTGCACAGAATAATGTGCAGAGAAAGGGTGAGATTTTCCTCTGCACTGCAGTGGCCTTGATTGGAGTGAGCCGAAACTAAGACAAGAAATAAACCAGTAAAAGCCTCTTGAGAGGAAAAACATTAAAGCAGGTATTAGGTGCAGTGAAACGAAAAAAACCGACTAAAAATAATCCAGATCCTCAGAGTTTTCAGTTCCTGAAGTCATAGGAATTCCTCTAAAAATATATATATATTTAAACAACATTTAATCCTTTGGAGCAATAAAAGCAGGAAATTGCCAAGCGAACAGAAGCCCAGTGGTAAATCAGAAAAGGGCAGGGGTCAAAAGGAAGATGTCTCTTCAGGGCAGGGACACCTCTTCAGTAGAGGGAGGAGAGAAGGAGAAGGAAAGATCCAGATGGGTAGGAACCCTCAGCCAATTGCTGCACTCATATGAAGTCCTTGCAAGCTGCCCGAGCTAAGCAGCTGCTTCTGAAGTTAGGAATTGTCTCTAGTTTCTTGTCAGGGATCCCATAAAATTGTCTGTTCCCCACAGTGGTGCAAGCAGAATCTCCAGCACCACCGTACTGCATGGCTCAGGTGAGGTGGACAACCACATCCTAAGGTACCCCATCACCTCCCTCCCCCCACAAGCAAAGTTAATTGCTCTGCTATGGGCTGTTGGACTGAGCACACCTCATGTCTCGTCTCAGCCAGAACCTCTCCCCAAGGAGAAGCTTCCTAAATACGCCCCTTTCTCCCTTTCATGTAACCCAGACCGCTGCCTCCCCTGGACTAGCTCATATGACAGTAGCTGGTGGGCTAGGGGGCTCAGGTTGAGTCCCATTGCTCGGCACGGGACTGGCAGTGGTTGAGGGAGGCACGGTCTCCACAGAATCTCCTGGTTGAATCTCAGGGGTCCTCTGCGGGCTGGGCTCATCAGAGTGGTCCATGTTGCCTTGGACTTCCTTCCCTCTTTGGATCAGCTGCTCTAAGGTCTTGGGCAAGGGGTAACTCAAGAAGCGCTTCAGTTTGGGCTGGAGGGTGCCTACCACATACTGGATAATTTCCTCCTCATCTGCATCTACATAGAGGGTCTGGTACAAGTCTCTCTTGCGCCAAAGGAATTGATCCAGGGGTTCCCCCTCTTTCTGTGGCAAATCCAGCTCCCTTTTGATAGCATCCCTAGTCAGAGTCCCCTCACTGTACTGCAGGAACTCCTTCTTGAACTCGACCCAGTTCTTGACGGAGTCCTGCTTGTATTCCCACCACTTTTTAGCAGGGCCGTTCATGTGGTTTTGGATCTGAGACAGCCAATACTCCTCTGTTCCACCCACCTGCTTTAAGTATTCCTCCAAGTGGCTCAAGAACTCCCGGGGATCCTCAAAGACCTGAGTCTCCACTGGGGAGGTTGGAGCATCCTCCGACACAGAGACCCACTGGTAGGAATCATGGGCCTGGGGGATGCTGGGCACCTCCCCAGGAGGAGGGGTCAGCGCATACATTTGGCTCATATCAAGGGCATAGTCATAAATCTCACCCTCACTTGGCCTTATCTCTGGGCCTCCCACCCCAACAGACACAGTCTGCTTGCCATGCTCCCCAGGGCAATATTTGCCCCCCATGGACTCCAGACGGTCCGCCCACTTCTCCAGACGGAAAAAGACCTCCTTCCAAACATTCATCTCTCTCTTGACCCACCTCTCCAGATGGGCAATGGTTTCCTGGCATCTGGCCAGGCAGGCCTTGATGGACTTCTTCCACCTTTGGTTATCGGTTGGGACGTGGTCCTCTAAGTTATTCTCTAACTTCCCCACTGACTTCTGCAAGCCTTTCAGCTCGCGCTCCACCTGCTTGGAGACCTCAGTCAGGAGGTGCCGGTGGGTCCTCCTGACATGCTCCAGCATTTCTGCCCTGCACTTCCCTATCTGCAGGATCACATTGGGCTTGTTGGCAACTCCACGGTGCCCCTGGAAGGAGTGGATGCCAGCGTTGGTGACATTATCCAGCTGCATGGCTCCGACCGTGCGAGTGTCAAACACAGAAAGAACTGTGTTGTAAAGCCCTGGCACTAGAGCTGGTTCTCAGAAAACCCCCACCACAACACTTCCTGAAAGACACACAGAGACTTCTAAACCCCCCTCAAAGGACTTTTCAACACAAACACAACCAAATCAGATATCACCGCAGAGCGAGCTGTTCAGTCCCCGGCGATCCCACAGAGAGTTGTAGGCAAATTTCTCCCGGTGCCTAGCTGGAAACGCCGGTCTCACGTGCTCAGGGTGTCCCAGGGAGAGCCAGGATCCTCCAGGAACAAGGAGAGAGGAGTTGGCTGAATGTTGCCTGCTACCTGCTTGTCCGGAGTTGAACGGCCGCAGAGTCCCCACTGGAGAGAAACACAGAGAGATGCACACAGAAGCTGGAAGCTGCTGCAAAAAATCCCGGTGCTTTCTCCTCTGGTAAACTTGGTGAGTCGAGAAATGCTTTCACTAGAGATGCAAAGAGCTGCTTCTCTTCCCTGGCTGAACTGCCACTAGTCCAGGCTCTTCCATCTACTTATACCCCACACAGCTCAACATGTGGGTGGTGCCCTGCCTCCTCTCGCACTCTCAGCGCAGCGTTCATTGGAGGAGAAGCGAGGCCGGTGTCTGTGGCAACCCAGATCTTGGCAGCCTCCCCTCGCTTCCCACCCCCTCGCGCACACCCCCAGACTCGACGCGAGAAGCACTTGAAAGGTGCTGGAGACAGTTGGGTAGATGGATGAGTAATCGCACCTTCCGCCTTTCGGATTGCAGGGAACGGGGAAGGGGAGGGGGGATAAAAACCACACTTATTCATTCCACAACTATTTACTCAGCAAGGTCATCATTAGCATGCTTCCCCTGGCAGGACTCTCAGAGGGGGAGATGAGGAGGAATTCAGTGTGTCACACGAAGACAGACTCCCACGGGGCCCCCGCACACATCCACACACACACACACACAGTGAGGTCACTGTTAATGCAAATGCTTTGGGAATGGTGGCAAATCAGCGAGGGAAACTTTATCAGGAAAGAAAATGAAGAAGAAAGAAAGAGAGGGAAAGGAAAAGAAAGGGAAGGGGGGAGGGGAAGGAAGGAGAGGAGGAAACACTCAAAGGAGCCAGCCACTTCAGTACAAAATGGACTTTCTAAAGGTGGGAGTCATCCCTGCTGCCTAATTGCACCCGACCAACCTCTATCTTGGGAATATTCAGTGAGGGAGGGGGATGGCATCCTGGTTCTTTACACCAAATTAAATCCGCCCATCGAAAGCCTGTTCCGTACTTAGCTTGAAACAGATGCTTAATCAGTTAGCCAACCCACAAGCGCAGATGAAGCTACATTTGTTCTTCCTTCTTGACAAAGCAGGAAAAGCCAACCATAAAAGGAATCCCCGGGTCTTATATAAGCCAGAGATAAAGGATTCCCTAATCTGAGAGAGTTCCCTGCCGGAACACCCTTGGAGAGGTACTGAGGGCATCTGGGGCTTCTCATCCTCTGCCAATAACAGTGGATGGGGGCAGTGGGACACTGATTCATGGATATTACCTAAAAAGGGGTTTCAAGCCTGTTGGAAATGCCTTGCCTCCGCTCAGGGTAGCAGGGAGGCTTAGGATGGGTCTCCCACGGCTCCTGGCCATGTGTTTCCTGCTGGGATTGCAGCCAGCCTGCTGACAGTGAGGAGATGTGTAGTCTTCCAGTGAAGAGTGACCCCAGGCATTCAGTTAAAGCAGATTCCACTTGGACCAGACTGGTGGTGGTTAAGATGAAGGGCATGAGGGACATGGTCAGGACCCCCTTTCCCCCTTCCATATCCATGTGCTGCAGGAAGATGTGTGGCTGTTCCTTACCCGGTGGTGGCACATGGACAAACACTGCTGCTGTATGGAAACAGGAGGGTTATTTAGGGCAGCAGCGAGCTGACACAGAAGGGCTGCGTGGTTTGGTTGAAGGTGGGGAGTAAGAGTGAGTAGAGAAGGGGACAAAAGCCTGAGGGTGTAAACACAGGCTTCCTGATCCAACAGACCCTCCCAAAGCCACTTGAACCCCACACATACCATGATAGTGACATGACCACCAGAGAGCAATGTCCTCTGCCCTGCTTACTTCTCTACCTTCACTCATCTTTCTTAAGCATGAGTTTATAGTGCATCTGTGTTTAGGAAGGGTCAAATGTCAATCATGTAAGGGTTTGGGACATATCTGGAGCCTTTTATGCTGCTGTTTTTATACTATAGAGAGTCCAGCTTAAACCTGCATTGCCAGTAAGAGATCACATGAACTGGAAGACACTGTGAAATCTCTGTATCTCTGGATTAGTGCAAAGGTATTCTCCAGAAAGCTTTGCACCCAGGATCACTAGAAATGGCCCTTAGGAGGTCAGCAGTGAATGGGGACAGGTTATAAACTGGATTTAACTTTGCAAGGTGACCTGTTTTCGATCTCATCTTGTCCCATCTAACGCCAGAGTCTGGGATGAACTGGCTATAAAACCTGCCCCATTAAATCTGTCTCTTTCCTTCTCCATTAGTTTTCACTGGGGGGGGGTGGGATTTATCCATCTAAATAGCCTCATTTGACACTTAGGTCTTGGCACAGTATCTCAGGATTATCAAGGGACCTCAGGAGGTTTCTAGCTCAACCTCCTACTCTAAATTGAGTCAGCTACTGGGTCAGATGAGGTGGTTCAGGTTTTACATATTGAAAACCACAAGGATGGGTATTACACATCCCTTTTGGGGCAGCTTGCTCCACTGCATAACTGTCCTCAGAAGGAAAACCTTTTTCCTTATACCAAGACTGTCTTGTTTTAATTTATACCCAACGACCCTTGTCCTCTCACCATCCTCCTCTATGAAGAGCCTGGCTCTTTCTCCCTGATAACCTCCACATGTGTATAGGAGACTGCTGTTAGGTCCCCCACAAGCCTATTGCTTCTCCAGGCTGGACAAGCCCTAGTCCCATACAAGGCACCAGGTAAGTGCTCTAGCCCTAATCACCTCAATGGCCTGTGTTTAACTCATTCCAGTTAATCAGTATGTTGTACTAAGTGGACTAAACCCAGTTTGAGGAGCTAAATATGTTCTAATATGCCCTGAGTGTAGGGACATAATCACGTCCATTGATCTTCTGGCTGTTCTCATGCTCCCATAGTTAGTCCAGGATATTCTTTTTGCTGCCAGGACACACTGTGGCACCACACTCAGTTGCTGCCAGAGCCTCCTTCTTCCAGGCACAGAATTTGTCCTTTTTGAATATCATAAGGCTTCTGCTGGCCCTTTCCAGGCCTTTAAGTTCATCTCATTTGATAACCATTCCACAGGGCTCTCCTCTTAATCTGTGCACTTTCTTCTGTGGAGGTGGTGGGGGAGAGGCAGGGAGGAACGGGGGTTTTCCTTCTGGACCTGCTGGGGAATGACTTGCTGATTAAGACATAGTGATAAGCATTTTCATTGTATTTCTAATTAAAGTAAGGCGCGTGGGTAGAGGAGGAGGAGAGAGGGGAGCCGGAAGCAAAGGAAGGAGGGAGATGTAGAGCACTGAGAGCTGACAAGGAGAGGTAATTTGAGGCAGACAGACAATTTCCGGGCACAGATAGACAGGCATGGAAGGACAAAAGCCATGGACTGGGGCAGGCTGGGGAAGAGGCTCTCATAGTCACAGCAGCTTTACCCCAGGGCTTCACAAAGAGGCAGACAGACTTCTGTTGAATCAGCTACCTGGCCTCAGGGGAGCTGGCAATGGGATGGGTGCAGGAGACTGCAGGGTACGTGGTCCTCTCGCTGGCCAAGGGAGGTCCAAGACAAGAGGGTGGCAAGAAGGAGGTGGGAAGCGAGTACGAGGAAGGAAGAAAAAGGGTGATCAGTGAGGAGGGGTAGTTTCCTCCAAAACAGCTAAGCACGGAAAGGAGAGAAAACAGCAAAAGCCACATCTCATAGCTCAGCAGGGATAAAGTCGATGTGGGTTGTCTCCCTAGCGGTTCCTGAACAGTTTTAAACCACAGTTGATTAGGATCAGACCCCAGAAAATGGGAAGAAAGAAAAAGAAAAGCCAACTACTAATTATAGGCAGACAGAAGGAGTGTGTGGCAGTGAGCAGCAGCAGAAAACCCCTCTGCGGGGAGAGGGACCAGATGAAAGGGACACTGAGCCATAGCCAGCACTGGCACCTTCCCCAGTGCTGTCACAACAGTGCTTTGCTGAGGACATGATGCATCCAGAACCAGGTGCCATTTACCCCTTGCAGCCATTCAGGACGTGGGCTTTTGCTGCAGATTCGATAGGGTTTGGATTGGGGATTTTTAGGGTTGACATCCCTTTGCCACTTCATCTGGATGAGCATTTTGCTCAGACCTACCTTATGTCAAGACATGACACTTCTTGGACATGAGCCTGAGCTGTGAGCCAGATGAACCTGGTGGGTGAGTGAGAAGGGGGAGATCCCAGGGTTTGGGAAAGTTTATGGTGCAGCTGAGTTGTGCTGTCTTTTAGTGGCTTATGCTCAGAAGAGCTCTGCTAGATGCTGTATTATCCTACTGTGGTGCCAGGGTCCCTCTCCGATCATGTATTGCGATGTTCATTTTGTTCATTCTCTGAATCACTGTCTGGAGGACCCTGCCTTTCACCAAGGACTTTAGTCTTAGAAGTGCCTAAACTTAGAAGTCTAAAGGCCGGTGTGCAATTAATCCCATCCTCTTGCAGGAACTAATTTTTTCTACTGGTAAACAAGGAATTTTCTGTGTTATCCTATACGTGCTGTGCTAGAATTTTCCTTTCCATTTCCAGAATTGCTTCCTCCTTCTACAAGAATAAAGAAAAGAAACAGAAACCACAATCCCTCCTCTCTGCCCCCATACCCTTTCAATCCCTATCGATTCTCCTACCCATTACCAGACAAAGCTGGCCAGTCATTTGTTTGGCAGCAAAACCCTTAAGAAAGGAATAAAATTAAGAGAAACCAAGTTGTTGTGCTTTTTAATGCATTAAAAAAGGAAGGAGGGGGGGAAATAACACATTTAATTTTACACCATACATCTCTATTCATCCATCACCAGCACTGGAACACTTTATTGCACTGAAGCTGGCA